GTGTGTGTGTGTGTGTGTGTGTGTGTGTGTGTGTGTGTGAGAGACAGAGGTCAGACAATCCCATTAAACATATAATAAATGGCTCCCTGTCAGTGAGCAGCCATGTTGTAGAGAAGTAAAGGTTACGCACTTCACTCAGAGCAGCTCGGGGGGAACACTGGGAGCTCTGAGGTGTGTGTGTGTGTGTGTGTGTGTGTGTGTGTGTGTGTGTGTGTACCTCCTCCAGTTTGAACGTGATCATGGTGAAGGCTCTGAACACACAGTCCGTCGGCCCTGTGATGGTGATGATCCTCTCCGGACAGGAACCCTCTGAGATGTTGATCCTGGCGCTGCTCTGTGGGTCGAGACAGAACGGGTGGGACGAGGGGGGAGAGGAGGGGATTGTGGGTATTTTGATTTTTTTTCGAGGGGACGGGGGAGGGACAGGGGGGGTGAGGAACGGTAGAAAGGGGATTAGGGGATAATGCAAAGGGAGGGATGAGGAAATACATGATGAAGTAAGGGAGGTGAGTCGTGAACGAGGGAGGAGGAGGAGGAGGAGGAGGGGGGAGTGTGAAGGTTAATGAGGGAGGAGGAGGGAGGGGAGGGGGGACGGAGGAGAGAGAAAACACATTAGTGGGGGGGATATGTGGGCCAAGACAGAAGAGGAGGAGAACCACCTCGCCACACTGACCCCCCCGCTCCGAGATTCACCTGTGATGCAGGAGGAGAGAGGGATTACACGGAGGCTGGAAGAGGAAGGAGATAGGGAGGAAGGGAGGAGAGGAAGGAAGGAAGGAAGGAGGGAGGCAAGGCAGATGAGGAGAGCAATGTAGTAAATCAAGGTTTTCAGGAGAGGGGGTTGACAGGGGGGAGGAAGGAGAGCAGAGGAGGAAATGAGATGGTGATGAGAACATTGTGGAGATTAGGATAGAAAGATTAAGATGATGTTGAGGAGGAGGAGGAGGAGGAGGAGGAGGATGGAGGGAGATTCAAGCCCAGGAAATGAAGGAGAGGAGAGGAAAGAGAGTGGGTGGAGATTTATTGAGAGGAAGAGGAGGAGAGGATCAGGAGGAGGAAGAGGAGGAGAGGATCAGGAGGAGGAAGAGGAGGAGAGGATCAGAAGGAGGAAGAGGAGGAGAGGATCAGAAGGAGGAAGAGGAGGAGAGGATCAGGAGGAGAGAGACAAAGTGGTGCAAATATATGAGGAGAAAAAGGAGGAGAAGAGATAGAGCAGTAATAACCATATGAGGACAGATGGAGAGAAGGAGTGAGGAGAAAGTTGAAGTGAGAGTCAGGAGCAGATAAACAGACGATGAGAATCAGAGAGTGATGATCTCTGAGTTTTATTCAGGTTTTCATCGTCCTCACTCGTTTCTGCATCAAAACACACAGAAACATCTGTTTTCTACTTTTCTAACTTCTACGATTCCAAAGCCGTGGTAAAGAGGCCCCGCCCACACACACTATCGACCAATCAGGAGTCAGTGTCCGCTGTCAATCATCACGGCTCCGCCTGTTTTTATATCATAAATAACTGATTAAACCAAACTGATGAACAAACATCAGAGAGAAGAGAACGAGCTGAAACGACAGAAACATCTTTACACATTTATTTATCTCTACTTTGAGTTTTTAGTTTGGTTCATGTCCCGTCTGCTAACATGGAGGAGGAGGAGGGTTCTGTACTGAAGTCAGACACCAGGGGGCGACAGAGAATGTTCTGTATCTATTTATCATTCATTCACTCCTCTCTCCTTCCATCTCATCATCCCTCCATCCTGTCCTTCATCCCTCTGTTTCCTTTGCCTCCTCTCTCCTCCTCTCTCCACCTCCTCTTCTTGCCTGAGGAGGTCACGTGTTTTTGTGTCTTTACGGCAACAATCTCAAAAATCAATCGACAACAAACTTCTTCCTGAATTTTTCGCAGCTTCTAGAAAATATCTCTAAATATTTTTCGCAGGAAAAATAAAAAGTTTGGTTTGAATGAAACAAACTTTCCTGTTGACTGATCAAACAATCAGAGTGAGACGTCATGTCGTCCATCTTTGTTACCGTCGGTGGTGTGAACACAAACTGAAGCTGAATCAAACGACCCCCCCCCCCCCCCCCCCCCCCCGAGTGACACGTGCAGCAGTTTGCCGTCGTCCTCTCGCCGCTGCAGCTCGACTGTCTTCATCACTCTTCATTTGGAGGAAGGATGGACGCCTGTGTCATTCAACTGGATTACACTGCTCTGTTCTGCTTTATTAGAGTCACACTGCGGGGACTGAGAGTGTGTGTGTGTGTGTGTGTGTGTG